TACACTCTCATGGAAATGGTTTTATGGAAGAGGCCGGGAAACAGGACCTGGGTGAGGCACCAATGGCATCTTCTGTATCTACAGAAGATTGGAGATAGGATTATGTTAGGTCAGGCTCCCTAGGCTTGTGATTTACTGGGGACTGCTCTCAGGAGAGAGAGAATAAGGAAAGCAAGATAAGGCAGAAGAAGGAGTTGAACAAAAATAAAGGTTGAGCTGCAGTCAAATATCAACCTGATATAATCCAACATAATCTGTTGGATCTACACCAACGCTTGCATGAATTAAGCCTGACTGACAAACTGCCATCATAATCCTTGAGACTTTAAAGAATTAAGAATCATGTGACCAATGTATAAACTTGTTCAATCACTATGTTGTACACCCCTGAAACTAATGTACCATTATGTGTGAACTGCACTCAAAAGCAAAAAAAAAAATATTAAAGAATCATGTGGAAGCTGCTCACTTTCAGTTTTATCATGTGATGATGCTATGTGGTGCATGGGAAATCACTGTCATTTTGAGCACTTTAAAATAAAGAGAAAGTGACGTTCATACAGAGAAAGGTTTGAGCACTGTAGTGGGTACTCCTGGTGCTCTGCCTAGATCCCATCCATCACTGTGCCTGCCAGGTGCTATCCCAACCCCACCCCAAGGGGCAGACCACAGCCAGTGATTGACCCAGGGGATAAAAGGCCTTGCCTCCAGATAGACCAACTCCACAGTGCACACTCCAGAACTCCCCTAAGGAATTAAGCTGAGGCTAGACTCCTGCTGAGACCACCTCCTTATTTAGCTCCTTCCCCTGCCTATCATGTTTCCTTAGTACCCTTCTCCCAAGAGCGTACTCCTCCAAAAACTCATGTGCATCCCAGCCCCTATCTTTCCTTAATAAATTGTGTGCATCCCAGCCCCTACTCTCCCCCAACAAATTATGTGCATCTGACCCCAATTCTCCCCCCAACACAAAATGTGTATCCCAATTCCTACCTCGGGATCTCCTTACAGGCAACTGGCCTAAGACAGCCGCACTGTGAAGAATTTTCTATCAAGTAGTATAGACTAACTTTGGGACTACTGTGAAGGTTTTCTGGGAGGTAATGCTTCTGGGCTTGAGGAGCTAGGAGGGGGACTGGCATTAGAAAGAGAAAGAGAACTCCAGGTAGAGGGAACATCATGTGCAAAAAAAAGACTTTATGAGAATGGGGGGTTTTTGTCTGTTTTGTTCACTATTTTATCCCTTGTGCCTAGAATAGATCAGTGCTCTCTGGGGTTAGGATAGAGGTTGACTCTGGACTCTGAGGTATATAGATACCTGGAGATTCCCATTGTTGAGAGCCAAGCTGCTGGCCCTCCACCACCAGGAGACCTCTAAAGAGCTAGTCAAGAGAGTCAGGAACTTGAAGTCACCAAGGGTAGCCACTTTGGAAAGTGGCTGATAACTGCCCTCCAGCCAGATCTTTGTGTCCATTCGTTCATTAAATCAATATTTATTGAGCATCTACTGTGTGCCAGATGCTGTGTGAGGCACAGGGACTGCAGCAATGAATAAACCAAACCAAATTCCTTGTCCTGTAGAGCAATCATTCCAGTAGGGCAGAGAGACAGCAAACAAAATAAATGAAGTAGATAAGCAAATTGTTTTGTGTATTAGAAGGTGGTGGGTACAATGAACAGAAATAACTAAGCAAAGTGGATGGAGGATGTGTGTATGAGAAAGACTGAGAGAGAGAGAGGGAAGGAAGGAGAAAGGAAGAAGGAGACAGAGAGAGAGATTTGAGACAGGGAGGTGAAGGGAGGCCTCACCAACAAGTGGACACTTAAACAATGACTTGAAGTCAGCCAGGGAGCCATGTAATTATGTGCAGGAATCTGGAGGAAAACATTTAGGAAGAACAACATTATGTAGAAAGCATTTAGGGAACAACAAGTACAAAAGCCGAGGCAGGAGTGTGCCTGGCATGTTCAAGGAAAGGCAAGGAACTGGTGTGGCTGAGGCAGAGAAAGCAGAGGTCAGGGTGGGGGAGACTGGGAGGGGATGAGGGCAAGGAGGTGACAAGGGAAGATCACATAGGGACTTATGGGCTATGGTGAGAACTTTGGCTTTTATTTTAAGTGAAGTGGGAGTCAAAATAAATAAGTGAAGTGGGAGTCATGAGGGCTCTCAGCAGAGGAGGAACAGGATCTGACTTAGATTTAACAGGATCACATTACCTTTGACCACAGTAAAGCTTTATTAAACATCACAGCCTGGCTGAGATGTGCCAGGAGGAAGAAGAGAGAACAGCATTTCCAACCTGAGTCCAGGGCTAGGGTGTCAGGGGTAGGAATCAGCATAAGACAATGAACAGACTGTTCATTGAAGTCAACAGTAGCAAAGACAGCCGTCTGTCAGTGAGGTGAAAAATCTAGGAGGTATGGATAGATGGATGGGTGGATGGATGGATGGATGGATGGACGGATGGATGGATGGATGGATGGATGGACGGATGGATGGATGGACCGAGGGATGGATAGATGGACGGATGGATGGATGGAGTGAGGGATGGATAGATGGACGGATGGACGGATGGATGGATGGATGGATGGAGTGAGGGATGGATGGAGGGAGGGATGAAGGGATGAATGGAGGGAGGGAGGGATGGATGGACGGATGTAAAGGACATCTGTGAGCTGGACCTGCAGGAGACTCTCAAAAATAACTGAGAAGACATTTTCAGAGGGTCTGATTTTCAGCAAAAATCCCCTGGAGTTTTATGCTGTAATGTTGTTACAAAAAGGAATTATAATCTCATTTTGTATCACAGGTAAAAGGCTAGGGACACTCTGGTTTATACTTAATGTGCTTTATGAAGTGGTGTGAGGATAATAGAGAGCCAGCAGGGCAGGTGGGCAGCCTAAGAGAGAAGAGTGAGAGATGAGTCTGGAGAGGCAGACTGGGGCCAGATCTGGTGGGCTTTTTGACCCTACTAAGCACATTTAGCTTGCAAAGTATCCATGGGGTTGTGAGGCAGGGGTGTGATGGGCTCAGATTCATAATTCAGAAAGCTCTCCCAGCTGCAGGGTGAAGAATGGGGTAGAAGGACAACCAGCTAGAGGACTATCAAAGTTATCTCAGATCAGAGATGCCTGGGGGACAGATGTTGAGTGACTTTCCCAAAGTCACACAGCTAATACGTGGCAGAGCTAAGATTTGAACCCAGGTGGTCTGGCTCTAGAACCAACACTCTGTAATAGCATAGGCCTGGCCATTAGGTGGCACCAGCTGTCTCTCTTGATCAGCTCTTGCCCCCAACTATCACCACACTCCCAGAGGACCACTAGGGAGAAAGAACAGGAAGCCCCACTGCATGGCTGCTGGGCCACAGGGGATGGTGGGATGTTGAGAGCCCACCAAACTTATTATGCAGGACTTGTGGTCGTGATAACCCCAAGAGGCAGCAAACTCCCCCATGCCCCAACCACCCAAGGAAATCCATCTGTTCTGTTTCCTTGCTCACATACTCGCCTCCAAGTGTCTCTGGAGTTGACTATACTTGCTATCTCCCCTTCTTCACCTCCCACTTTCCCTCAATCACCTCCATTCTGACTTCCACGACTATCATCGTCATTATCACTACCACCATCACCACCATCATCATCACCTCCACCATTCTTACTACCATCACCATCACCACTACCATCACTGCATTCATCCTCACCACCAGCACCACCAGCACAACTGTCCCCACCACTACCATCACCTGCACAACCACCTCTACCATCTTCAGCACCACCATCATTATTACCATCACCACCACCATCTCCACCACCTTCATCGTCGTCATCTTTATCATCATCACCACCAACATTCTCACCACTGGAACTTCTCTTGGTAAGAATACAACCTCTCTACTGCTCTGTCCCATGAATATCTTTCAGTCTTAATTCAATCTGGTCTCTTTCCTTTCCCTCCATGACAACATACTCTGCTCATTTCCCCCCATCTGTCTAGCCACCCTTGGTCTGTCTCCTCCACTTTCTGCTCCTCCACTCCCTGATTTTAAAATTACTTACCCAAGGCCCTCTCCTCTCTCCACTACCTCTCCCTACATGATTTCATCTAGTACTATGGCTACAATTACCATCTAGTGACTGGGGGAAAAGCCCTCTCTTTTGTGAATGAGACTATATATGTAAGGAATGTTAAAATCACAGTACCTCAAAATCAAATTATCCAAAACTTAATGCCATCTGCCCCCAAAAACATGCTTTTCCTCCAAGTTCCCTTTCTCTGTAGTTCTATATAGAAAAGATTGTGTTAACTTTGTTCACTGCTGTGCTGTAACACAGATCCTGTCACTAAATAATATTTGTCTTAATAAATATTTGTTGAAAGAGGGAAGGACTTAGATTTTCTCCCAAATCCTGCAATTAGTTTGGATTTCCCCAAATAACCAAATGGTTTTATCACCCTCTACTGGGTCTACTTTGAGTCTCTAGCTAGATCTGTTGAGTGACATCTGTTAAGGCGGTAAAAATACCAACATTTGTGAGAAATGACTCCTCCAGTAACTTTAGATACCAACAGAGATACCCTAAATTCTGGCTTACCCAGCTCAAAACCACAGCGTTATTTAAGCTTTATTTTGACCCCAAAGTCACTAACCACTCCTCAGACAATGCTCTGTAACTAAAAGGCATTCCTTTCCTAGGGTCAACTGATTCTGTCACCCCAAAGGCAATCAACAGTAGCTATGAAAACCTACTACCAAAGAAGCATATGAAAACAAGTGCAGAAAACAAAGAAAAGGAACAAATAAAAAAGCAAAAAAAGCAGAACCATAGTTCTGATGGTGAAAGACAAGAACGAGTTCCCTTTTCTGATAGAAATTTCCTTAGTCAGCTAACTTATGTGTATCAATTCTCATAAGATTTCCTTGAGATAGGAAAAGTGGTCAGCAAAAAGCAAAAAGGAGCTTCAAGAGCTGAGCGGCAAGTGTTACCTGCGTGCAGGAATGCAAGGGCCATCACTCCTTCCAGGTATGTGTAACCTTGGGAATGACTGTACCCTAACCTACCCACTATCAGGAGCTACTCAGTTCAACAATTAGCTGTCTTTTCCTTCTCCTCTTTCTTCTGCTCTGCTTTAAACATTCTCTCTTTCCCCTTGGATTGTGGTTTCCTTCCTCACCACCCTGTTCAAACTGTGCTGTCAAATATCCCTAAAATTTTCCTGATGGCTCCAATCCAAGGAGTTGTTCATCTTCATTTTCAAAGATTTTGTTTTCTAATTAACATCCTCTTCTCCTTGATAATTCTGTGCTGACTTTTTCTCTGCCTCTCTTGCCATTCTTTCCTTCCCCCTCCTTTTTCTCTGTCCTGTACCAAGAATATTAATATTATCCCCATCTTAAGGATGAGAAAACTTGGGTACAGAGTGATTGTAGTACCTGCTTAAGGTCACACAGCTTGTAAATGGCAGAGTCAAGATTCAAACCCAAGCCGCCTGGCTCCAGATCTTTGCCATAATGTTCCTCCCACAGGATTCTGCTCTGATCTTCTCTTTTTCCTGCTCCCTGTCTTAGAGGAAACTCTTGATCCCATGGCTTCAATCGCCACCTCTGTGCAGATGGTTCCCCAACTCTGAAGTCCCATCCATCCTTCTGGTTCCAGATCAAGTAACAATATCAATAGCCACAATATCAACCTTACATTTATTGAGCACATACTTTAGCCTGAAATTGTTTTACCTTCATTATTGTACAACACCTTCACATTACAGATGCAAAATAGCATCGAGGAGAGATTGTAGGACTTGTTTAAATTCTCACAGCTGTTTAGTTGCAGAGGCAGATAGTAGATCATAAAGTCTATCAAAATAATATAAGCTTCTTGAAGGCAAATGCCTCGTGCCCTCACCTTTGCAGCACCTTCCATATCTTATACATAAGAGGTGTCTGATATATATCTATGGAATCAAATTTAAGTGAGAGAGTGTGCAATTTTTTAATATATCTATATATATATATATATATACATCTATATATAAATATTTCTATCCATATATATCAATGAAGCTCAAACAAGATGTTTCCTGCTTTTTGGCAACTAGAGGCAGAGTCCTGGACACTTCTAGAATGGATTATCTGTGAATTCATTTACCTGTGAACTCTCTGCCCATATCACTGGATGCAACAGACAGTGTAACAGAACGAGCATCTGGCCAAGAATAAGAATAGGACTCTAGTGGAAATAAAATGGTAACAGAGACAGCTAGCATTTATGGAGTGATTCCTGCCAGACATTGTGCTTCATGCATGCCCTTGTTTATGTCATCATGCCCAACCCCAGGTGGTAGGCAATGCTGTCACCATGTTTCATATAAGGAAACAAGTTAAACAATTTGCACAAATAGTGTCCAAGCCACTTGACCTCCAGGCACCTGTTTCCTCATGGACAAAAAGAGTCAGTGGATGATTTCTAAAGTTTCTTAGCAGTCTGGGATTCAGGCATGCTCATGACTCTGGGGAAACCCTAATTTAAGATGCATGCACATATTACTGAGCACAGGATTACTGGCTGGACTGGAAGGAGACCCTGAAGACTAGCCTTGAGGAAACATCATGGTGCCCAGACTGCCTGAGCTTTAGGAACTAGGAAATGCTTTTCAACCTTATATGTGTTACTAATTGGCTCTGTGAGCTATAGTCATCATTCGGGCAGGTGTAGTGTTAGTGCAGCTTCTACAAATTAATTATTACACAAAAGTAGAGGTAGGGAAATTTAAAGTCATTCAGAAATATGCCAGGGCCCTGCCATTAAGCAGTTCACAGCTCAGCTGAGAACATATTCATTGGACAAACAAAAATATTCAAAATGCTCCATGAGTGCAGTTTTAAAACTGATAACAACTGGCACCTTCTTTGATGAAAGATGGGAGCACGGAAGGATGAATAACAGCTGCCCAAAGATGTCAATATCCTCATCACCTGAAACCTGTGAATATGTTACCATAAATGCATAGGGGAGGAAAAACTTCGCCACCACCCTCTTAGGGTCTCTGGCTGAAAGTAAGAATTAAGCTGACACAAGACAAATTAGTAGGAGAGAAGCATACAAGTTTTATTAAATTGAAACATGTACATGAGAGACTTCACGAGAGAATGAAGACCCAGAGAAATGACCAGAGCACAAAGTTTTTGTGCCTTTTCGACAAAGATATGAATTTGTGAAATGACAAGGCGACGGGGTTTGGGCTAGGAATGGTGAATTGCGAGAAAGTGACTGGGAGGTCTGTGGGAGGGAAAGCTGAAGGAAGACAAAGGCTATTTCACTGAGTGTGTTTGTACAGATCCATTTCAGTGTTCATTCCCAGTCTCTGGTGATAAGGACACTCTTTTCTTCCTGGCACATGGAGGGCATCTTTCTCAGGGGAAATTTTATGGCCTGATTTTAAGTAGGAAAAAGTAGGTCAGAAAGCGCTTCCTGCATGTGCTCTTTCTCAGGTGCCTTCCACTCCAAATAACCAACACGCTAAAGCGACATATTTGGGGGTGACATGTTGTGAGCAACATCACGTGGTCAAAGGGACTTTACAGATATGGATTAAGCTAAGGATCTTGGGATGGGGAGATTATCCTGGATTATACAGGCAGGCCCATTATAATCATGAGGGTCCTTATAAGAGGGAGGCAGGATGTCAGGAAGGAAGGAAGGAAGGTGCTGCTGGATCTGAGGATGGGAGAGGAGACTGTGAGCATGGAATGTGGGTCACCTCTGACCACTGGCAGTGGAAAGAAATGGATTCTCCCCTAGAGTGTCCAAAAGGAAGCAGTCCCGCCAACACTTTAATGTCAGCCCAGTGAGACTAACTTTGGGTGTCTGGCTTACAGAACTACAACAGGAGTACATTTCTGTTGTTTTTCAGCCACTAAATTCACGGTAATTTGTTAACAATCAGAAACTCATACAGGGAAATCCAAAAAGAGTTAGTACTGCCCTCCCTCCCACTCTTAAAGGGGCACGCTAGCCCATAGGGTTTTGTCTTCCAAATCCTGCGATCAGTCTAGAATGCCCCCAAATAACCAAGTAACATATCACACCTCCTACTGGACTGTCACATCTGGGGAGCAACATCTACTGGAAGAAAAGGCACCCTTTCCTCAAGTCACTGTCACTGGAAACTTGCCAATCTCAGCGGCAGCTCTTACACATGCAGCTTGTGTGGGATTTCTGCAAGAGAGGTTGTGCGGGGTGGGAAATGGAGCAAGTACCTTAGACCCTCGGGGCCTCTGTTTCCTTTTTTTTTTTTAAGATTTTATTTATTTATTTGACAGAGACACAGCGAGAGAGGGAACACAAGCAGAGTAGTGTGAGAGGGAGAAGCAGGCTTCCCACGGAGCAGAGAGCCCGATGTGGGGCTCGATCCCAGGACCCTGGGATCATGACCTGAGCAGAAGGCAGACGCTTAACGACTGAGCCACCCAGGCGCCCTGTGCCTCTGTTTCTTAAAGTTCACAACTGGGATCATGCTAATAGCACTCATCTCCTAAAGTCATTGCAAAGCTGAATTAAGATCATGTGCCTGGTGCTTAGAATAATGCTTGGCATATTGTAAGAGCTCTTTTCCCCTTAGATGTTGTAGAGGCTGGCCTTCGTATTTTGCCCAGCCCCCCACCAAGGAAATCCTCTCTCCAAGACATAGTATCTCTCTCCAAGGAAGGTTTCACTGGTGTGTTTACGGGCAGGATGGAGGAGTGGTTGCATCATAGGGCATGATGCATTTTACTCCCAAAATTCCCATCTCCTCCAAGTCTTGCTTCAGAGTGGCCAGCTGCCACATCTCCTGGGCTTCCCCAGGAAAGACGCGCGCACACACACACACACACACACACACACAAACACACACACCATCCGGTCCAGACTTTCAGCCTCAGACTGTCTCTCAATCACCTGATCCCAGTCTTTCATACACAAGATCGAAGTTACCCCAGTCCCACCTAACTAGTCCATCCTGACCTACACCTATCACCCCACTTGATAAACAGAGACCCTTCTATTATCAGGACCCACTTTCTTTTTTTAATTTAGCCATATTGAGGTATAATCTAGGCAAAAAAATCACATACATTTAATGCATACATCTTGATGAGTTTTTATATATATGCATACACCATACATCCATAATACCATCATCACCACAGTGAAGGTGCCAAGCATATCCATCACCTCCAAAAATCTCCCTCTGCGTGCGTGTGTGTGTGTGTGTTTGGTAAGAACACATAACATGAGATCTATTCTTTTAACATATCTTGACAACAATACCGTATTGTTAACTATAGGTATTAGGTTTTATGGCAGATCTCTAGAACTTACTCACCTTATAAAACAAAAACTTTATACCCACTGAAAAGCAATTTCCCATTTCCCCCTCTCCCTAGCCCTTGCTAACCATCAATCTATTCTCTGCTTCCATGAGTTTGACTACTTTAGATATTTCCTGTAAGTGGAATTATGCAGTATTTGTCCTTCTGTGTCTGACTTACTTCACTCATAATGATGTCCTCTAGTTTCATAGATGTTGCTACAAATTACAGGATTTCCTTATTTTTTAAGGCCAAATAATACTCCATTGTGTATATATACACGACATTTTCTTTATCCATTTATCTGCAGGATCCACTTTCTCAAGGGGTAACCAAAATTGCAAATAAGGTGACTGGTCACCAGAGCTAAATTTCAACTTCAACCAGTGCACACTAGAAGAGCCACTGGTTGGTTTTTCGTATTGAAATATTCCCACACCATTTGTAAATAATCATTGCCCAAAACCAGCTCCCACCACACTCCTGCCAGCCCAGACCCTGCCCGGAGACTCCATCCACCTCCACAAAATTCAGCAGCTAAAATAACATCTGCTACAACAGAGAAGGGTCTCCAGTGTCCACTCTGATTGGCCAATTCCTGCACCATACCAGCTGTTAATACTGTCCTTGCAAATGGCAAATAATTGTAGACATTAGTAGGTAATAAGGGAATGAAAAGAAGGTGAGGAGAAAACTAGCAATCAGTGTGTTGTCGGATTTCTTAGGAAAGGGAAAGAGAAGCCACCCATCCATCCAGTAGCCTCAGGTCTTTGCAGAAGCAGGAACATGGCTGCTGACCCCACCAGCAGTTGGGAAAGTTTGGGGAAGAGAAAAGAGCACTTTATCAACCACAGTAGAGGCAGCCTGCATTTCCCAAGAAAACAAAAAAATACTTCCCTTCCAAGAAGCATTTCTAGAATCTTGCCAGTTCTCCCTCAAAAGGAAGACTGATTCCTATCCACTTGAATCTTGTAACCAAGAGAACGTGGTGGAAATGGAGTTGCATGGTTTCCAGGGCTGGGTCTTAACAGGAGATGTAGACTTGTTGGCTGGGGCACCCCTACTTAGAGCTCTGAACCACCATGGAGCCTGCATGCCTGAGGTCGCCATGTTGGCAGGAAAGCCAAACTCCCCAAGTCTGAGGCTACATGAAGGGAGAGCAGCACAGAGCCAGTTCCCAGGTGCTCTAGCCCCAAACACTGCCTAACTGCGACTGTATAAGGAACCCCAAACCAGAATCACCCAGCTGAGCCTTTTCCAGATTCCCAAAGCACAGAAACCATGAGAGATAAGAAAATGGTCGTTGCTGTTTTAAGCCATTACATTTTGTGATGGTCTTTATGCAGCCGTGGATAACTGATAACACAGTCCTTGGAGACTTCCCTGATCTTTCCTCATTCAATTCATGTGTCTCCCTTCTGCTTCCCTGTTCCAGGGCTCTGTTTTCTGCTGAGTTTATCAGAAGTCATGGATCAAAGGAGCATAGGTAAGTGCTCAATACCTGATTTCTCCACAGCCAGAGACCAGGAAGGGTGTAAACCAAGGGCACACCTGGGACCACTCACATCCTCCAAGGGACTAGAGCAAAGGGGCTTGTTCTGGGAGCAGAACTCAGGGATGCTTGCTCCTGTCATTCTTTTTAATTCACCATTTCATCAAATTTTAATGTATCTTTTTTAAGTTTCATTTACTTAAGTAGTCTTGAACTTACAACCCCTAGATTAAGAGTCACATGCTCTTCCGACTGAGTCAGCCAGGCGCCCCTTAATGTATCTTTTTATTTTACTGTCCTTTGTCTATTTGTTTGTTTTCAGTAACCACAATGTGCCCAATGTAGGAATAGAACAGTGGCTAAAATACACAGCCTCACGAAGTGAGCATTCCAGTGGGGAGAGACAGAGCATGATGGTAACCATTCCATTCTGATCATAAGTGAGGCACCAAAAAAAAGAAGAAGATGATGATTTCAGGCTAATTTTAATCCCTCAAAGATCTCACTAGATTCTGATTCAGCAGGTCTAGTGTGGGGCCTGAGATTCTGTCTTTCTAGCCAACCTTCAGGGGACACCTTCTGAGTAGCCAGATTGCCCAATGTGGCCCGCATCAGGTTCCCAGCCCCCACTACCTATGAACACTGAAGTTCCCAGATTTCTCCACTAGACCCAAAGCTCGAGATCCTTCCTCAGCTCAGCTGACTCCCAAGAGGGCTGGAATTAAGATCTTTAGTGTCTCTCTGTCCAAATGAAGTTATACATAGGGTTACAAAGATAATGTGTACCCATATCAGAATATACTTCCTGTGGACCCCTACAAATTCAAATTTTTATAATCCTAGCTGATACTTATTATGTGCCAGGCACTGCCCAACACACTTTTTATGTATTCATTCACTTACTCTTCACAATAACCCAGTTTACATATGAGGGTATTGAGGCACAGAGAGATTAAGACATTTGTGCAAAGACACATGGCTGGTAAGTGGCAGAGTCAGAATCGAACCCAGGGCCTTAACCAATTCATTCCCCCTTTTATAAATTCTGCAATGATCTTGAGAATAACACAATTCTATCACATTGAAATTTTTGTGTTAAAATTAATTTAACTGCCAACCTCGGTCTTTATCATGAAAACAAATCTCTTTTTTCTGTAACTTGGTTTGGTATCTCTCATTTTTTAATGTACTGAGATCTCACAAGAGAAAAAGGGTGTAGGCTTCCTGATCCTCAAGAGGTCCTGGTCAGAGGCAAAAGCAAATGATAACAGGACATCTCTTAACCCCAGCAGATGTTTGATCTGTTCCTCCTTCTCCCTGCAGCTCCCTGTAAGTGCCCCCCGAATGCTGACTGTGTCAATGGCACTTCCTGTACATGCAAACATGGATACACTTCTGTGTATGGGAAGGAATTATTCACATTTCCCTTGGCTACATGTGAAGGTAAGGGATAATTTTCGAACCACCCAGAGGCGGGAGTGGAAGGGGGACAGCATAGGGATCATGGGGAGGCAACTGCCAAAAATGTGCACGGCTAAAAAAAAATCTACCAACTCCACCCTCATCAAGAAATTAATGCTTTCATGAAATCAGCATTTCCCCTTTATTTTTTTTAAGAGAGAGAGAGCATGAGTGGAGGGTGGAGGTAGGGGCAGAGGGAGAGAGAGAATCCCAAGCAAGCTCCGTGCCCAGCAGAGGCTCGATCTCACAACCCTGAGATCATGATCTGAGCTGAAACCAAGAGTACAATGCTTAACTGACTGAGCCACCCAACCGTCCCATCATTTCCCTTTATTTATTTGGAAGTCCTAATATACTTTTCCACCCCATTCATGGCTACCTTCTCTTAACTTCATAATCAGACATGTCTTTCTCTACTATTATTTTTTTAAACTCATCATTTATTTCCCCTCCCAAGATGCACTGTTTTCCCCATCATTTCGTGTGAAGGGGATGAGAGTACCCTCACTGTGATGAGCACTGAGTAACATATAGAATTGTTGAATCACCATATTACCCACCTGGAAATAATATAACACAGTATGTTAATTATACTGGCATTTTTTTTTAAAAAGATGCTTCATTTCACCCTCACTTCCCCTCCCCCAGTAAAGAGATGAGATCTTTAAAATACTGTAATTTCACCCCCACCCCATCTCCCCTGCCACACCCCCCATGATTTTAACTTTGTCTCAAGGTTCACTGCTCACCCCTGCTTCCTCTTACCTTCATTTCCCCCTTTGTTGAGGTTTCTGTACTTCCTAGTTTCATACTTATTAATTTGTTTGTTTGGAGCACTTTCTCACATGCTTTCTTCAAACTGGTCCACATAGCTAATGTCTCTCTCCATGAATGCATCATCTCGCATCTCTTTGGCTCTAACGAGTGGGTTCAATCCTGCCTCGGAGTGGGGGGCGGGACATTTCGTTCCGTCCTCTTCTCCAGGTGATCAGTGAATATGCCAGTGATCACAGAATCAACTGTCTTCAAGCTTACAGGGTTGCAGACAAAACTTCCAACACCAGTCTGAGTCTCATCCCTTTGTAGTGACTTCTGTCTCAGGCTTAGGTTTCTTGCAGATGCCCCAGGAACAACATCCTTACTTTTCATTGGCTAGGGGTGCAACGTGAAAGCTGGAAGGAGGCTGGAGGGGAGAGTGCCTGGGAGATGGGAACAAGACAAGAACAAGACTCCTCCAAATAGAATGGTTGTTGAGTGGGCAACCGAGAGCATCTGCTCTATTATATCACAATCTGAAAATTCCCAACTTCATATTTGCCATACCAGATTGGGAAGTCACACATCTTCACTACCCACCTGACATTTGTAAAGGGGCTCAGGACTGGAGACACATTGACTTAATCAAGACATTCTAACTCAGTTAGTTAATCTAGCAGGTGTATTACTCTGCTTAGGCCGTTATGACAAAACACCACAGACCGGGTGGCTTAAACAACAGAAATTTATTTTCTCCACAGTTCTGGAAGCTAGGAAGCCCATGGTCAAGGTTCTGGCAGTTCCACTTTCTCAGGAGGCCTCTCTTCCCGGCTTGAAGATGCCTGTCTTCTTCCTCTATCTTCACATGGTCTTTCCTCACTCTCTGCACACAGTGGTCAGGCAGGTGGAGAAGCTCTCTTGTCTCTTCTACAGACACTAATCCTAACAGATCAAGGCCCCATTCTTATGACCTCATTTAACCTCAGTTGCATCCTTAGAGGCCCCATTTCCAAATACAGCCACACTGGAAGTTAGGGTTTCAACACGTTGAATTGAGGGGACATACATACAGTTCATAAAAACAGACATAGTCAGTTTCCCACTTATATGCTCTCAGCACTTGACATTCTTTTGCACACCAAGTCTAAGGCTCTCTCTGGCTACTGGAGACCACTCAGTTCATGCTCAGGACAGGTGGAAGTACTGGAGAGTTAACTATCCCTGCAAGCGCTTCTCTGCCAATGAATGATAAGATTTGGCAGATAAAAGCATTGTCAATAATGGCCAAATTATGGAAAGAGCCCAAACGTCCATCAACTGTGAATGGATATATATGCAATGGAGTATTACTCAGCCATCAAAAAGAATGAAATCTTGCCATTTGCAATGACATGGTTGGAGCTAGAATATATTATGCTAAGTAAAATAAGTCAGTCAGAAAAAAACAAATACCATATGATTTCACTCATGTGGAATTTAAGAAACAAAACAGAGGAGCATAGGGGAAGGGGGGAAAAAAGAGAGAGGGAGGCACACCATAAGAGACTCTTAACTACAGAGAACAAATTGAGGGTTGCTGGAGGGGGGTGGGTGGGGGATGCGCTAGATGGGTGATGGGGATTGAGGAGGACATTTGTTGTAATGAGCACTGGGTGTTGTGTGTAACTGATGAATCACTCTAAATACTATTCCCAAAACCAATATTACACTATGTGTTAACCAACTACAATTTAAATAAAAACTTAAAAAAAAAACGATTTGGCAGATAAATACCCCAGCCCCCTCACCCCTCAGAGAGTCACTCTGCAGCGTGTGCTCTACACTGCCTCCCAGAGGGTCCCAGAGGAATTGAGTCCACGATGGAATTGTGGGAATTGCCCACAATGGAAACTTCCCTCTTTACTTTCTGCTTGGCTTTCCCTGTTTTATTTCACCACTTCCCTTCCAGTGTTTTCTGGGATCACCTCCCACATAAAGTACTTGAACATGAATTTTTGTCTCAGTGTCTGCTTCTCAGAGAATCCAACCAAAGTCAAAGAGAAAAGGGAAGAACAAAGACAACCCACTACCTTAACTAAGTTGTCCCGGAAAGCCAGAACAGATTGGGTGGAAAGGGTATAGCCTTTGGCACATATTAGAAGTTCCATAATTCTTTATCAAATTAATGGCCAAATTGCTCTTTTGTGTTCCAGATATTGATGAATGTAAACCACCCATTAGTATATATTGTGGAGTAAATGCTGCATGTCAGAATGTCGCTGGAGGTTTCCACTGTCACTGTAATCCTGGATACAAACTCCTCTCTGGGCGTACTCAATTCCAGAATTCCAATGAAAACACTTGTCAAAGTAAGGAAATTCTTGTCTTCTTGTCTCCCTTCTTATTTTTCATTGAGTCTAATGCCAGAAAAAAAAAGTATGTGTGTGTGTGTGTGTGTGTGTGTGTGTGTGTGTGTGTGTGGTGAAGCTAGTACATGTTTCCATTTTCTGGAGGTAAATGAATGATGGAAAGAGGACACCAAAGGAAAGAAGGAAGTTTAGAGAAATAATGAGGTTAATAAGACAAGTGGACTTTGGAAATGGGGTGACAATGTGCTGATTGAGACAGGATTCTTTGAATTGCAAAGAGAAGCACACTCAGGCTAACTTAAACAGAAAAGATGAGTTTATGATAAGGATGCATGGATGTGTCTTGGAACTCAAGAACAAGAACAGAGCAGAGCTTCTGGAATGAACTGAAACGGAGACTTCACACTATCAAGACACCCCAGGCTCTGAAGCTCTTTGGGTCTACTCCTTTCTTCTTTTTCATTGCAAAATGGCTTTCTCTGCCTTCTTAGCCCACAGGACAGGAAATATGGCCACCAACAAGTCCAAATTTTACCATTGTTAATGATCAAACCACCAAAGAGAGATCAACTGACTCTCTTTTGGACCTAAGTGCAAATACTTTGGAAATGTACCAATTAGTCCAGTTTGAGTTATATGCCCACCCTTGGATCTGTGTCCAGGGGGAGGCACCATCTTGTATAAGCATGAGCACTCTCTTGGAAGCCACATAGTTAGGGAAATCTACGCACAAGAAATATGGGAGATGTAACTGGGAGACACAAGGCGAAGATGGTACGGTAGGAAAGATCCATCTATATGCTGCCTACAAGAGACTCACTTCAGACCTAAAGAAATATACAGATTGAAAGTGAGGGGATGGACAAAGGTATTCAAGCAAATGTAAACAAACAAGCAAACAAAAAGCTAGGGTAGTGATACTTATATGAGACAAAATAAACTTTGAAACAAAGACTGTCGTTACATAATGATAAAGGGATCAATCCAACAAAAGAATATAACACTTGCAAATATCTATGCACCCAACATAGGAGCATCTAAATATATAAAGCAAATATTAACAGACATAAAGGGAGAAACTGACAGTAATACAATAATAGTTGGGCACTTTATTTTTTTTTAAGATTTTTTTTATTTATTCATTCGAGACACAGAGATACAGAGAGAGAGAGAGAACATGAGCAGGGGGAGAAACAGAGGGAGGGGAAGAAGCAGGCCCCCTGCTGAGCAGGGAGCCCGATGCGGGGCTCAATACCAGGACCCTGGGATCATGACCCGAGCTGAAGGCAGATGTTTAACCATCTGAGCCACCCAGGAACCCCATAGTTGGGCACTTTAATACTCCACTTACATCAATGGATAGATCATCCAGACTGAAAATCAGTGAGGAAATAGTGGCTTTATGTAACCTCTGCACCCAACATGAGGCTTGAACCCATGACCCTGAGATCAAGAATCACATGCTCTACCAACGGAGCCAGACAGGAGCCTCTGATCTAAAATCTTTGCGACATAGTAAAAGCAGTTCTAAGAAGGAAGTTTATAGTAATACAGGCCTACCTCAAGAGACAAGAAAAATCTCAAACAATAAAACCTTACACCTAAAGGAATAGAAAAAAAAAATAAGAACAAAGCCCAAAGTTAGTAGAAAGAAGGAAATAATAAAGATCAGAGCAGAAATAAATTAAACAGAGACCCAAAAAAAAGCAATAGAAAAAAGTTAATGAAACAAGAGTGGGTTCTTTGAAAAGATAAACAAGTAATAAACCTGTAGCCAGGCTCATCAAGAAAAAAAGAAATTAATTAATTCATTAAATCAGCAGATACACCTCACAGGGTATATACCCCAGAGGGCTGTTGCAAAGATTAACTGAGGCATAAATGAAACACTACCATACAGGGCACTTAAGACAGTGTCTACAAATGTTTGCTAATGTGATTCACATTTCATCTGATTCTCCAAAATATATATATATACATAGACTCCCTCTCCTTGGGCAGAAGACATGAATAGACATTTCTCCAAAGACATACAATGGTCAACAGACACATGAAAAAATGCTCACCATCACTCAGCATCAGGGAAATACAAACCAAAACCTCAATGAGATACCACCTCACACCAGTCAGAATGGCTAAAATTAACAAGTCAGGAAAAGGCAGATGTTGGCTAGGATGCAGAGAAAGGGGAACCCTCTCACACTATTGGTGGGAATGCAAGCTAGTGCAGCCACTCTGGAAAACATTATGGAGGTTCCTCAAAAAGTTGAAAATAGAGCTACCCTATGACCCAGCAATTGCACTACTGGGTATTTACCCCAAAGGTACAAATGTAATGATCCGAAGGGGCACTTGCACCCCAATGTTTATAGCAGCAATGTCCATAATAACCAAACTATGGAAAGAGCCTAGATGTCCATCAACAGATGAATGGATAAAGAAGATGTGGTGTATATATATACAATGGAATATTATGTAGCCATCAAAAAATGAAATCTTGCCATTTGCAATGATGTGGATGGAGCTAGAGGGTATTATGCTAAGCAAAATAAGTCAATCAGAGAAAGACAAGTATCATATGATCTCACTGATATATGGAATTTAAGAAACAAGGCAGAGGATCATAGGGGAAGGGAGGAAAAAATGAAACAAGACTAAACCAGAGAGGGAGACAAACCATAAGGACTCTTAATCTCAGGAAACAAACTGAGGGCTGCTGGAGTGGAGGGGATGGGAGGGGTGGGTGGCTGGGTGATGGACACTGGGGAAGGTATGTGCTATGGTGAGCACTGTCAATTGTGTAAGACTGATGAATCACAGACCTGTACCCCTGAAACAAATACTGCATTATATGTTAATAAAAAATAAAATAAAATGTTTTAAGTGGTTAAAAAAAAAGAATATGAGTTCAAAAGAAAAAAAAAGGACAAACAAAAACCAGACTCTTTGGGCGCCTGGGTGGCTCAGTTGGTTAGGTGGCTGCCTTCAGCTCAGGTCGTGATCCCAGGGTCCTGGGATCAAGCCCCACATCAGGCTCCCTGCTCAAGGGTGAGCCTGCTTCTCCCTCTGCCTGATGCTCTGCCTACTTGTGCCCTCTCTCTGTGTGTCAAATAAATACATAAAATCTTTAAAACAAAAACAAAAACAAAAAACAGACTCTTAACTGTAGAGAACAAACCGGTGGTTGCCGGAGGGGAGGTGAGTGGGGGGATGGGTGAAATTGGTGATGGGGATTAAGAGCACACTTATCCTGATGAGCACTAAGTAATGTACAGAATCATCGAATCACTATATTGGACACCTGAAACTAACAGAATACTGTATGTTAATGATACTGGACTTTTAAAATTAATAAATAAAAAATTTTTAAATAAAAAAATAGAGTATGAGTTCAACCCCTCTTTTCATCTTCCTGTCCACCTCTCCACCCTTTTACTCTCAGTTCCAACAGTAACTTCCCTTGATGTTTTTTTACAGAAACCACTTCCTCAGCAACAACCAAAGGCATGGAGGATGTGAGCGGAAGCCCAGTCCCTGAACCCAGCCAGGTAACAAATGTTTACAAACCCCAAAATTAGCAGGTGGATGTGGATACTATATATTATATGTCTACTATACACTGTATATCATCTATGTACCATAAATGTGTGATATGTCATATATATTATATATTACATGTTATGGTATGTACTATATGTTAATATAATAGTTTTTAATTATAGTACAATAGAAATTAATTATAACACAATAGTACAATGTTATGTGTAATTTATATGATGTATAACCGAAATATATAAATATATCACCATTTATCACTATATGTATATTGCTATATATCTCACGGTAGAGATAGAGTGTGTATGTACATATGGGTGTGTGTGTGTGGTGTGTGTGCGTGTGCGCACATGCATGCGCACATGCACATGTGTGTGTATACTGCCCCCTAAAGATAGGATCGATCCCAGACCAAGAAAGACAGACTAAGTGAAACTGTATTAGGGTATGCCGAGCTGCTACAACAAAGAGGCCCAAATATCCAACAGCTTTAAAAAGATGGATCTTTATTACTTTCTGAGTTAATGGTCCAGGCTGGTGAAAGGACTCTGCTCCATGAGGCCATTAAGGGTACTCACATTCTTCCCATACTGCTGCTCCACCATCCCCTGGCATCTTGTCCTCAATGACATGACCAAAACTGGGTTGCTGCAATGTGGTGTTTGTACCAGTGGATAGAGGGGAGATGAGTCCAGGGCAATTTGTCTAGAGCACAAAGCGAAGACGAGAGAGTGGAGAAAAGGGATACATCTACTCACTTGATTATAGGCTAATGAAGTTGTGATAATTTCCTTGGAGATCTGTCTTAAAGCAACCACCCAGAAGTTGAAGGTATCACGGCCAAAACTAGCTGCAAGGGAAGCTAGGACAATGTGGTCTGTATATGGGGAACATGGTCCAGGAAAAATTTTAAGGAATTCATTCAATTAGTAAAAGGAAGGGGGAGAGGAATGGATATTGTAGGCAGTTACAAGAGACAGACCAAGAATGTGCCTGTTAAAACAGAGGAGCATAGAGGAAGAGAGGGAAAAATAGAATGGGACAAAATCAGAGAGGGAGATAAACCATAAGAGACTCTTAACCAAACTGAGGGTTGCTGGAGGGGTGGGGGCTGGGAGGATGGGGTAACTGCGTGATGATCATTAAGGACGGCATGTGATGCAATGAGCACTGGGTGTTGTATGCAACTGATGAATCACTAAATTCTACCTTTGAAACTAATAATACACTATATGTTAATTAACTGAATTTAAATAAAATTGAATTAAATTTAAAAAAAAAAAAGAAAGTGCCTGTTAGGTAGTAAACACTTAGTGTCTGTAAACTGACTCTGAATGTTAACAGAGAGAATGACCCATGTCTCCAAGAACCTAAAGTCTAGCAGAATGGGCTCATCCCTTCCTCTCCCTACTCCCCACCCTCACCCTGCTCTACTCCAGAAGGACCATTCACATCTTGCCCTCCAAGCTCCAGGCCTCCAAGTACATGCTGTTCTCTCTGTCTGCAACTCTGTTCCCAGTTCCTCACCTGGCTGGCTTCCTTCTATACTTCTCTGCTCAAGACTCAATTCAGGTTTCACATTCCCCTGGATGACCTCCTTAAACCCTTCCATATGAGTTTATATCATGTTCTTCCCCATGTTCTTCTGTGGAGGTTAGAAGTGCAGACAGAGGTTCAAATCACAGCACCACAGTGACAAGTAACATGGGCAAAATGACACAACCCTCTGTATTAGTCAGGGTTCTCCAGAGAAACAGAACCAATAAGAGACATAGATAAAAGAGATTTGTTATAAAGAATTCATTCATGCAGTTATGGAGGCTGACATGTCCCAAGTTCTGCAGTAAACAAGCTAGAGATCTAGGAGAACCAATGGTGTCATTCCAGTTCAGCTCCAGAGACCTGAGACCATGGAGAGCTGATGTTTCAGGCAAGCCTGAACAAAAAAAAACAGTGTCCCAGCTCAAGGCACTCAATCAGTCAGGCATTCAGGCAGGAAATAATTCCCTCTTACTCAGACATCTTGCTCTGTTCAGGCCCTCCACTGATTGGATGAGGCCCACTAAAATTGGGAAGGGCAATCTGCTTCACTCCATCTACCCATTCAAATGTTCATTTCATCCAGAAACACTCTCACAGACACACCCAGAATCATGCTTGACCAAATATATCTGGGTACGCGCTGGCTCAGCCAAGCTGACACATAGAATTAACCATCACACTCTGCAAGATTGATTTACTCATCTGTAAGATGGGGGTCATCATGGCACCTACCTCCTTGGAAGGATGGGAAGGTTAGATGAAATACCGTATGTAGAGTACTTAGCACAGTGCCTGGTCCAGAGTACACCTTCCATCCAGGTTATCCATTGTTACCTCTGGTGGACTCAACATTTCCATGATGTGTCATCACCACCTAGACAGTGAGCTTCTTGAGGGCAGGAATCAGCCCAAGCCCACACTGGGAGTTCAACAAGTGTTCATGGAAGTCATGAACAAATAATCATGTAATTAACAGGAACATTTCATTATGAAGTTTCATTGCCCATTTCCTCAAAATTTTAAACATAATATTCCCATATGACCCAGCAATTCCACTCCTAGGAATATACCCAAGAGAATTGAAAGCAGAGACTCAAACAGATACTTGCACGCCCATGTTCCTAGCAGCACTATTCACGGTAGCCAAAAGGAAGAAAGAAACCAGATGTCCATCAATAGATGAATGGATTTGTTTTAAAGTAGTATATACATCGGGCGCCTGGGTGGCTCAGATGGTTGGGCGTCTGCCTTCGGCTCAGGTCATGATCCCAGGGTCCTGGGATCGAGCCCCGCATCGGGCTCCCTGCTCAGCGGGGAGCCTGCTTCTCCCTCTGCCTCTCTCTCTCTCTCTCTCTGTCTCTCATGAATAAATAAATAAAAATCTTTAAAAAATAAAAAAAAATAAAAAAAAAATAAAGTAGTATATACATACAGTGGAATATTATTTAGTCATAAAAAGGAATAAAGTTCTGATTCATGTTACAACATGGATAAACCTTGAAACCATCATGCTGGGTGCAAGAAACCAGACACAAAGGTCACACAGTGTAGGATTCCATTTCTATGACATGTCTGGAACAGGCAAATCCACAGAAACAGATAGCAGATTAGTGGTTGCCAGTGCCCAGGAGAAGGGAAAATGGGAAGTGATCGCTTAATGGGTTTTATCTCAGGATGATGGAAATGTTCTGGAACTACACAGAGGTGGTGGTTGCACGCCATCATGCATATACTAAATTGCTACTTCGTTGTATACTTTAAAAGGATGCATTTCATGTTGTGTGAAGTTCACCTCAATTAACAAATGCTTTGCCAGAAAAAGGTACAAAGCCTTCATGCTGGATCAGACACTACAATAGTGGTAGCATGGAGGACATTAGGAGAAGGAAGGGAAAAATGAAGGGGGTGGAATCGAAGGGTGAGATGAACCATGAGAGACTATGGAATTTGAGAAACAAACTGAGGGTTTTAGAGGGGAAGGGGGTGGGGGGATGGGTTAGCCCAGTGATGGGTATTAAGGAGAGCACGTATTGCATGGAGCACTGGGTGTTATACGAAAACAATGAATCATGGAACACTACATCAAAAACTAATGATGTATTGTATGGTGACTAATATAACATAATAAAATAAAATAATAAATAAAAATAAAAAATATAATAGCAATTCTGAAGGGCAAATGCTTTGGTGTCTACTCTGTACGAATGAGTTTAAACCAAGATGATTTCAGCTGTCATTTAGAGGACAAAGGTATGTTTTCTATATTGGGCAGGAATGGGAGGCTGCTTGTAAACTAGCAAATTCAGCTCAGAATTTCCACAAAGACTCAGACCGAAAGAGCAAAACCTTGAAAAGATTTATTTGAACCCTGGCTCTGAATGTTTCTCCAGCCTTTTTGATATATCACTCTGCTTATAACTCTTTTGTGCAATAGTATTTTCCTCCCAAGAGCATTCATGCAGCCCATGAACACTTACTGAGCATCTACATTTGCCAAGGACTGTTCTAGGTGCCATTTTGTGAGCAAGGCAAAGTCCCTATCCTATCCAGTACTTTTCTGTCTAGTACTTAAACATACAGGCATACCTCGTCATTGTGCTTCATTTTATTGTACTTGCATTGCAATTTTTACAAATTGAAGGTTTAGGGAACCCCGCATGGAACAAGTCTATTGGTGACATTTTTCCAACAGCGTTTGCTCACTTCATGTCTCTGTGGCACATTCTGATAATTCTCACAGTATTTCAAACTTTTTCATTATTATCATATTGGTTGTGGTGATCTGTGATCAGTGATTATGACTCGCTGAAAGCTCAGGTGAGCATTAGCATTTCTTAGCAATAAAGTGTTTTTTAGTTAAGGTTTGCGCATTGCTTATTTAGATTGACTGATTGATTGATTGATTGGGTTTTTCTAACTTTTTATTTTAAGTCCAGTTAGTTAACATACAGTGTTATATTACTATTAGGTATACAATATAGTGACTCAACACTCCCACACATCACCTGGTGCTCATGGGTGAAATAGGTGATGGGGATTAAGGAGTGACACTGTCGTGATGAGCACCAGGTGATGTGAGGTTTGTACGTTTTTTAGACAGAATGTTGTTGCACACTTAAAAGACTACAGTATAGTGTAAACAAAACTTTTATATGTTCTAGGAAACCAAAAACCTTATTTGAATAGCTTTACCGTGATATTCACTTTATTGCGGGAGTCTGGAACCAAACCTACAGTACCTCTGAAGTGTGTCTGTGCCCACAAATCCCCTCAGGATCTTGTTAAAGTGCAGATTTGAACTCAGTCCCCCGAGGGGCTGCATTCCAAACAGGCGGCCAGGTGATGCTCATGCTGCCACTCCAAAGACCACACTTTAAGTACAAGGATGTGGGGGTTCGCATAAAAATCTTCTTTCAAATCACCTGTATTACAATTAGATTACGCCTATATTTATAAAACTTCACCTTGGCTCTCCATTCTTCTCCCCTCTGGCTCATCACTTTGCTTTACTTCATAGATAAATTTCTTGACTTAAAAAGTCCAGTTAGAATGTCTTTTGCGCTATAACTCTACTTCGCATTTTTTCAGCTTTGGCACCATTGACACCTGAGCTTGGGTCACTTTCTGGAGAAGGCGGGGGAGGCAAGGTCCCGTGCATTATAAGGTGTTGAGCAGCATCCCTGGCCCCCACCCACTAGATACCAGTAGCATCCCTCAGTGCGGGGGATGTCTCCAGACATTACCAAATGTCCCCAAGGGGTCAAAATCGCCCTAATGGAGAACCACTGGTCTATTTCTGGCAACCTTACCCCTTCCCTGTTGGTAAAAGATGTTCATAATAACTAACCCTCATCTGGTGTGTACCAGGCACAGACACTGTTCTAAAGAGGTAGCATCTCTTAATTCATTTAATAATTCCAAATACTCTATGGGGTCCTTTTATTGTCCCTATCCTAATATGGGGAAACTGAGGCACAGAGCAATTGGGTGATTTTTCCAAGTTCACACAGCCGGTCAATGGTGGATCAAGATTGAAACCGGGTCCTCTGGCTCCAGAAGCTGCTTTCTTGTGCTTTCTACTTTCCCTCAGGGTGTGGGATCTAACAGATTGGATTTGTATTCTTATTCTTTGTATCTTCAAAGCTGCAACATGTTGTTGAGATATTCGAGTCACTTCTCACTAATAACACTCTACCGGGAACGGGAGAGAAGAGCAAAGTCGCATCTTGGGCTACAAATGTTCTCCAGACTGTGGAATCAAATGCTCTAGAAACTGCCTTGAAATTCCCAGAGCAAAAAATCCAGAAAATCCACAACAGCACTGTGGGTAAGAAGAGGATATGGCCTGATGCACACAGGGGGTTCGTTCGTTGTAAGCTGGAGTCTGGGTTACACAATTAGAAAAATAAATACCCTGCCTGGGTCCATTTATACAGACTTCTAGAAAATGCAAGTTAATCTATAGTGATGGGTGGAGGGGGGAGGAGGGAGAAAATTTGAGGAGACTGTTGGGTATGAAAGACATGTTCAGTACCTTGATTATGGTGTTGGTTTCACAGGAATATAGTATATACACAGGTATATATACTCAATAAAACTCATCAAATTGTACACTCTATTATGTGCAATTTATTACTCATTAATCACAGCTCCATAGACCTGTTCAAAAAAAAGAAAGAAAGGGGGCGCCTGGGTGGCTTGGTTGGTTAAGCGGCTGCTTTCGGCTCAGATCATGATCTTGGGGTCCTGAGATCAAGTCCTGTGTCAGTCTCCCCCTGCTCGTGCTCTCTCTGCTCTCTCACTCACTTGCTCTCACTCTCTCTCAAATAAATAAATAAAATCTTCTAAAAACAAAAAGAAAGAAAGAAAAGATTGCCAATGGTTTCCATTCCTGAGTCTGGGATTTTGGATTCAAAGTAGTTTTTTGGGTTTTTGTTTTTGTTTTTTTAATCCAAAGCCTAATACCTACTGGGACATATCACAGTTCCATCCCAGAAGGAACATCTTACTGCATATCTTTTAAATAAAAATACTTTTATCATACTTGTCATACATATTCATAATGTAACCACGTGACGAGATATTATGGTAAATAGTTCGATCTTCATAATCATTTCACTATTTTAAAAAACAAAAATAAATAAATAAGATATCATTACAAAGCCAAGTATTAAATTTAAAAAAAGAAAAAAACACATAGACAAAACTAAATTTAGAACAGCCAAATATGCCCACAACCCAATCTTCCTATCCTATAACCATGTAGATGCATGTCTGATGCAGATGCATATTTGCTGTGTATGTGATGTTGTACATACAATTTTCACTCATTACATCGCCAACATCTCTCCATGTAAATTATATACATCATCATTCCCTATATTATTGTCTTCAATGGTTTATCAAATTGCATTTTATATAATTTATTTATACTGTATGTTTATTTATACTGTATTTATTTCCCTATTCTGGGAAATGTAGGTTGTTGCCCAACAACCCCGTGAACAGACCATTGAAAATTTATCTGTGTATATTTGTTTGATATTTTCTTAGGATAAATTCATAGAGGAAGAATCGTCAGGTCAAGGAGAAAAGAAACATTTTATAGACTTTGATACATATCACTATATTGGCCTCCAGAAATGCTGTTTGCTGTGCCTTTATTCGGCCCAGGGATATCAAAGGATCGGTGTATGCCTAACTAATCATTTTGCTTTACCAATTTGTATGATAAGATAGTTTACACTCTATAAAAATAATAAATTTTTATAAATTTTTAAATATAAAATAAAATCCCATGCCTAACCTTCTTGGGAAACTGGAATCAGGACTTATTCATTAATTTATTCATTCATTTCATTCATTCATTCATTCATTTCATTCAAAATTAAACCATTTTTCAGATTACAATAGCTCTCATCTTTCCTGATCTGGCCAGGTCCTAACTGATGGGGCAGACCAATGCCCTCACCTCATTGGGTTTCACTCCCCTCATCTGTGAATGGACAGACACAGCAGGAACCCGACTGTACCCATCACCCAGTTTCAACAATTTCAAACTCACAACCAGCCTCCAGCCGTCTGCTAATATTTAAATATTTTCATGAGCTTGTTTCTTGATGGCAATTCTCCTGTGACTTCATTTTCATTGGAAGCATGGTTCCCTGTTATAGAGATAAGCCATCAATTATTAAATCAATTCCTCCTTGTTGAACATTTAGATCATTTCCTATTTTTCACACTATCATCTCTGCTGCTGAAAACTTTCTTGTAGCTAAATCTACCCTCCCGTCCATGATTGTTTTCTGAGAATTAATTCCTAGAAACAGAATTGTTGCTTCAAAGATGATTGCTAGAGGGGGCGCCTGGGTGGCTCAGTCAGTTGAGCCTACCATTCTTGACTTCGGTTCAAGTCATGTTCTCAGGGTCGTGCTTAAAATTCTCTCCCCGCCCCTGCCCCTCCCCCTGCTCATACTCTCTCTCTCAATAAGTAAATAAATAAAATTTTTTTTAAAAAAAGATGATTGCTAGAGAACTTTAGTTAAGAACTTGTTTCAGGAGTTAGGGTCTTACTTACCTCGTTTGGATAAGGGTCCCTCATGGGGTTATTTGACAATGTACACTGCCTGGCACATCCTAGACATTCAGTAAATGTAACCTGTCCATGTTGCTATGCACATTTTTAAAGCTTATAATAATGGCAAACTTGATTGTTGTTTTTCTCACCAGCTATTGAAACTCGAGTTGTTACAGACAATTGCTCTGAAGAAGGAAAAATCTTCAGCTTGAACACCCACATGAACTCAGTGGACATCCACTGCAATGATGTTGTGCAGGAAAACATACAAGGTATATATGGTGGCTGTATTCAGAATCTCTAAGAAACACAGATCAGTATCATTGTACGAGTCACAAGGAAAGTCGCCAACAGGCTCCTTCCTAATGGGTTTGTTACCCTAAGACTGTGTCATTTGAGTCTTTTCCCTAAAAAATCTTCCCAAAGTGAAGGCTTTCTATTCTTCAGCATGGAAGACACTTCTTTGCAATTTGGGGGCAGTTCTGTCCTGGTCTCAGTTGAGGTTCACCCAAACGCAGTCCCCAAGAAAAGCATAAGTTTATTTGGGACGTGATTCCAGGAAGCATCAGTCAGTGTATTAGTCAGGGTTTCCCAGAGAAACAGAATCAATATGGTGTGGGGGGCAGGGGCATAGAGAGAGAGAGAAACAGAGATAGAGATTTTAAGAAATGAGCTCCTGTGATTGTGGATGGTAGCAAGTCTAAAATCTAGCCAGCAGGCTGGAGACCCGGGAAAGAGTTGATGTTGTAACTGCAGACAAAGACAGGCTAGAGGCAGAATTCCCTCTTATTTGGGAGAAGAGAGTCTTTTTCTTAAGGCCTTCAACTGATTGGAGGAGGCCCACCCACATGGTGGAGGGTAATCTGCTTTACTCAAAGTCTATTGATTTAAATGTTACTCTCGTCTTAAAAAATGCCTTTACAGCGACACCCTGACTCATGTTTGACCCAATATCTGGGTAGTCTGGCCTAGCCACATTGACACATATAATTAACCATCCCAGTAGGAGGAGAAAAGAAATGAGACAGGGAAGAGGAGACAGCCAATACAGGTATTACTATGGTAGTGAGTAGGTCACTGATGGTGATAACTGTGACTCATCCCACTGAGCTCTCCCATTCAAAGAGGGAGAGCTGCTCTGATCCATCAGTGGTTGAGGGCCCTGCCATTCTGCCCTGTGTACCAATCCAACACATTCACTGCAGGGAATGCTCCCAGGCAGAGAGTTGCAGTTGCTTGCAGAAAAATTCATCAGCATATAAGGAACCCAAGAGTGCCAAGCAAATTAAGTTAGGGTGCCTACAGCATTTGCTACAGCCTGTGTATGAAGGAATGGATTGTTACTATTAATTGTCCCAGTGTTGCCAGACTTTCTGATTTTTCAAGAGAAACCAAAAATTGGGTTGTTTGCATGAATACCTTCAATTTTTAAATTTGGCCTTACAATAGCTGCCCTATCATTATAACTGCTATAGCGTGACAAATGGGGTCTTAAAATCCAATCCTATAAACGTGGGATACAGCTGGTCTGTACTATCAGTGAAAGGCCCCAAGTAAAGGCATCAGAATGTGGACAACTAACCATATGCTGAACTGAGGAAGTGTCATGAGACAATTAGTTCCTATCACTTCCTCTCCTCCCCCAAGAAGATAAGAACTTGAATCTGCCTCGTTTGAGAATGGGCCAGGTGGAGGATGGAAGCCAACCTCCAACCACACAAGTTCATGCTTGCCTTGTCACCAGGAGTTTCTTCTAAAACTCACAATTTGTAGAGAGTGTGCAAGACTTCACAGTGCAAGCCAAACAAAGCACATCTGCAGCCGCACATGTTCTCCGATCACATTCTGGGACACTGGGGATTAGGATTTCACATGTGAATTCAAGGAGGACACAACTCAGCTTATAAGAACTCCCTCCGCTGAACGTTTAAGTAAGTTGCAGACATCATAATGTGATTACATGTGCCTGAAGGGGCACCTGGCATAAAAGTGCCCAGTGGAAGGCTATTTACCCTCCCCCAGTGGGCCCTATAGTCTCACCTCCGAACATTTACATTGGCTGTTCCTCTACCAGGAATGCCAACCACCAGGCCACTGGGGTGAACTATTACTCTTCAACATGGTTCAGCTTTCACCTCCTCCGTGAAGCCTCCCAGGACTGCCCACTTCCACCACAACACCAAAGTCAGGCCCTCCCTCCTCTGCACTCCCCCCAGCCTCTTGAACTTGCCTTATCCTGGCATCTAACATGTTGTGTTGTATCTGGATTGTGACGTCCTTGTCTCCCCCACCATGCTGGAATCCCCATAAGGATGGCAATCATGAATTATTTTTCTCTAGAGTCACCATTACAGGCTCATTACGTAGAGAACAGTGATGAATGTTCTCTGAATTAAATCCACGTTTAGGTGGAGGTCTCAATGTTCCTAAGGAGGGAAAAGAACCCATTGACCGATGTGTGACAAGCTCCCAGAGGGACATTTCTCTGTCCTTCACGTCCTGTCTAGGGCAGGATCCTTCTTTGTCATGGGGGCCACCCTGTGCCCTGTAGGATATTGAGCAGCACCTCTGGTCTTTATTCACTAGACACCAGAAACAAACACCCAGTGTGGCAACCAAAAATGCGTCCAGACATTGCCCAATGTCCCCAGAGGGGGCAGAATCAGCCTCCTACCCCCAATTGAGAATTGCTCGCAGGGAGCGACCTTATAATTGACCTTCAAACAGCAACAACTTTAAGACTGAAAGGAGGTGCTATCGAATTACACCCAGACACCCATCAAAGGTAACACGAGACATACAATCCCATGACACCCCCTCCCTGTAAAACATCTCAGAGAACAAAACCCAGGCCACCGGAAGCTGACCGTGAACACCTGCAGCCACCCTTCTCTTTTCTGCTTGTGCTTTTGCTCCTAACCAGAATACTTCAGCCCAAAAATAAGCTATTTCTGAGCACAAGAACAGATGGACATATCACCTGCCCATCTTTTCCAACCACCTACCACTGTTTCATTCTGACAAATGGAAACTGTCATTAATTCGGAGAAACAGCAATGAATTGCTTCTGATCCCTCAGGCAGGACCAGAGAAGCCTGATTAAAGAAACCTACCGAGGAATTTATTCCAATAGGATGGGCTGCATAGCTAGTAAATGGCAAAGCTGGGATTTTAATCCAGAAAGCTAGTAACCTATTTCCTGTCTCTACAATCCTAACTGCTTCATATATATGGCCTCGGCAGTGTGGACTTCTTGGCAGCTACAAAGAATAAAGAAAACTTATTGACATCGGAATATGGTCATAACATCCTATAATCCTATAACCCACCATATTCAAACTAACTACAAATATATATGTTTGTTTATATATATATATGTTAGTAGCTAACATATATAACACATATATACATATATGTTATATGTATATATTATATATATATATAAACAGGAGAAATTTATTTTCTCACAATTCTGGAGGCTAGCAGTCTGAGCTCAAGGCATTGGCAGGGTTGGTTTCTTCCGAGATCGCTCTCCCTGGCAGATGGCCACCTTCTCCCTATGTCTTCACATGGTCTTTTTTCTGAGTGTACATCCCTGGTCTCTCTTTGTGCATCCAGATTTCTTCTTCTTTACTCTTCAATACAGGTCAGCTTTCACCTCTTCCATGAGGCCTCCCAGGACTGCCCACTTCCATCACAGCACCAAAGTCAGGCCCTCTCTCCTCTGGCCCTATCTTTATAAAGGCCCTGTCTTCAACACAGTCCCATTCTCAAGTACTATGGGTTCAGACTTCAACTTAATTTGGGGCAGGCGACACAATTTGGCACATAACACTATCCTACTGATATATGTCATGTGTATGTCCTTCTAATATATAATAGAATTACAAATACATGATATAAATATAGCCTGTACACATATATTTTTTAGTCTATTAAAGTATGTTAAATTGGGGCACCTTGGCAACTCAGTCAGTTGAGTGTCTGACTCTTGATTTCCACTCAGGTCAAGATCTCAGGGTCGTGAAATAGAGCCCTGTGTCAGGCTCTGAGCTGGTCATGGAGCCTGCTTAAGATTGTCTCTCTCCTTCTGCCCAACCCCCCCAAATAAAAAAAAAATAAAGTATGTTAAATTATGGCTTTCCTTTGCTTAAACTGTCTTAAAATAAAAGCAAAAGTCCTCCTCAAGATTCATAAAGCCCTACAGGATCTGCCCCCATCACATCCCTGCCCTCACCTCCTCCCACTCTTGCACACACACACTTCTTCAGCCACACTGGCCTCCTCCTTGTTCCCTGAACCAGCTGGGCACGTTCAAGTCCCTGGGACTTTGTCCCTGTTATATCAGATCTACCTAGAACATTCTTCTGTGTGGCCACGTGGCCCCCCCTCCCTTCACACTGCTGTCTGAAATCTGTCTGAAATAGCATCCTCCAAGTCTCTCTGTCCTCCCCTTACCTCACTTAATTTTCTCCTTAGGACCGATCATTTCCTGACATACACTTTTACTGATTTGTTTATATTTGTTTGTCTCTGTCCTGCACCAGAAAGATCTGTAAGAGCAGAAATGATTTCTTTGTCCCCCACTGTATCCCCAGAATAGTGTCTGGACCCGAGTAGGCATTCCATCAAAAAAAAAAAAAAAAAAAGTTGAATAAAGGAATAGATAGATAGATAGAGGTAGTGGCCTAAATTTCTATATACATTATTTTTTTCTGAATCTGGTTTACATATATAATATATGGGAGAAGATGATCACATTCACATGTACATACAAAGAGATAGACATACATGTAACCCAACTGTTAATGGATTTCTTTGAGTCCAGTCTCAACATTATGCTTCATCTGAAAGGAATGCAAAACCAATTCTAAAAGTCTTGAAAAATAAATCAGCCTTTCTGGAAGTCTCTTCAGGAAGTGGAATGACATCACGGAAGACTTACCTAACTCCCTAAGCTTCCTCTTCAAGGCTGACCCTTCTGGCTCCTCTCCTCCTCCCTCGAAATTCCATCTGCCTCTTTGCCTTCCTCCATCTTATTTGATGCATTTTCTCCTAAGGCTACAGCCATGTCCTTTCTGATGCAAATCAGTGTAACCTCTCTTGGTTTGTCCAGTTCTTTTCTTCCCCCAAGTTTTACCCCATTCAATGCAAAAAAGTGTTCAAGGCCACAAACACAATGTCTGTCTCAGAGGTGAGAAAGGGAGAGACGGTGAGAATCTCTATTTCATTTGACCCTCATATAGGTGACTATGCGCGCATATGTATACTTGTGTGTATATCATGTGTGCAAGCATGGTAGGTGTAGGGAAGGAATGGTGGCACTTTTAAAGACCCCCCCATTTTTCTGTTTTCTCAGGCCCCACGGCAATTGCCTTTATTTCTTATTCTTCTCTTGGAACCCTCATAAACGCAACATTTTTTGAAGAGGCAAATGAGAAAGACCGAGTGTACCTGAACTCCCAGGTAGTGAGTGCTGCTATTGGACCCCAAAGGAACATATCTCTCTCCAAGTCTGTGATTCTGAGTTTTCAGCATGTGAAGGTGGGTCAGAGCTGCACTTTGAACTTGCTTAGGTTTCTTGGAGGTAGAGTGAACAATGTGGTATACCCTCGCCAGTCAGTGCCTCTGGGCTGTGCTGTCCAATCAATACCTTAGCCAGGAGCCTCGTGTAACAATTGAGCATTTGAAATTTGGTGCCTCTGGGAATTGAGATTTTGAAGACAGTATTTCCAGATTCAGACTTGGTAGTTCCAGATTTTGAAGTTCTCATAAGAAAAAAAGCATGCAAAATATCTCATTAATGTCTTTTAAGGGGCACCTGTGTGGCTCAGTCAGTTAAGCATCTGCCCTTCGGCTCAGGTCATGATCTCAGGGTCCTGGAATCAAGCCCCATGTCAGGCTCCCTGTTCAGCAGGGAGTCTGCTTCTCCCTCTACCTCTGTCCCTTCCCCCCTGCTCATGCTCTCTCTGTCTCTCTCAAATAAATAAATAAAATCTTTGAAAAAATAAAATATTTTTTAAGAAAAATAATGTGGGGCGCCTGGGTGGCTTAGTCGTTAAGCGTCTGCCTTCAGCTCAGGTCATGATCCCGGGGTCCTGGGATCAAGCCCCGCATCTAGCTCCCTGCTCCACGGGAAGCCTGCTTCTCCCTCTCCCACTCCCCCTGCTTGTGTTCCCTCTCTTTCTGTGTCTTTCTCTGTCAAATAAATAAATAAAATCTTGGGGGGAAAAATGCTTTAAAAAAAAGAAAGAAAGAAAAATAATGTTTATATTGATTGCATATATTGATTTATATTGACATACTAAAAGATACTGTTTTGAATACAGTGGGTTAAATAAAATATATTGTTAAAATTAATTTGAAATGGGAAGAACGAAGGGGGGTAAATTGGAGGGGGAGATGAACCATGAGAGACGATGGACTCTGAAAAACAAACTGAGGGTTCTAGAGGGGAGGGGGGTGGGGGGATGGGTTAGCCTGGTGATGGGTATTAAGGAGGACACGTTCTGCGTGGAGCACTGGGTGTTATGCACAAACAATGAATCATGGAACACTACATCACAAACTAATGATGTAATGCATGGTGCTTAACATAACAATAAAAAATGTACTAGACATAAAAAAAAAGAAAATTCAACTAAATAAACCCCCCCAAAAAATTAATTTGAAATGTTTCTTTAGCTTTTTTAATATGGCTAGCAGAAAATTTCAAATTACACAAGTAGCTCACATGATATTTCTCTTGGGCATCATGATTCCAGTGCATGGGATTATTTTAGTTGGAGGTACCTCCAATTTTATTCTGTGAAATTTGAACTGAGACATAGTATTCATTCCCACACAAAAGCCTGGTATTAATTATTAAGACTGCATAACTTGATTGGAAAAAAATTTTATTTAATTCATTCCCTTTTCCCCTTCTCTGCCCAAACTCTTAAAGACAGAAAGGTCAGTAGCCAGACCCAGATGTAATAAAATTCATCTCTTCCCTTGCCTTTCAGCTTTGTCATGAAAGTAAGAGTTGAAAGAAATCCTGCCATTTGCAACAACATGGATGAATCTTGAGGGTATTATGTTAAGTGAAATAAGTCAGACAGAGAAAGACAGATACTGTATGGTCTTACTTATATGTAGAATTTCAAAAAGCCAAACTCATAGACACAGGTATTTTTGGTTACCAGGGGTGGGGGGATGGGAGAGAAAAAGTGCAGAAGGTCAAAGGTACAAACTTCCAGTTACAAGTAGAATAAGTTCCGGGGATGTAATTAATATACAGCGTGATAGCTCTAGTTAACAATACTATATTGCATAGCTGAAAGTTGCTGAGAGAGTAGATTTTAAGTTGTCGCCACAAAATAAAAATTGTAACTACATGAGGTGATGGATATTAACTAACTTCATTTTGCAATATATGCATATGTCAAAAACTTATGTTATATGCCTTACAGTTACATAATTTATATGTCAGTTATATCTCAATAAAGCTGGAAAAAACAGATAAAATTATTTTTTAATTTTAAACAAAATAAGAATGGGGGAGTAGGAAATGTAGGATTTCTCTATCGGATGCATAAAACCTAAGTATGGAATTTTTTTTTAAAGATTTTATTTATTCATGAGAGACAGAGGGAGAGAGAGAGAGAGAAGCAGAGGGAGAAGCAGGCTCCTGCAGAGCAGGGAGCCCGATGCGGGACTCAATCCCAGGACCCTGGGATCATAACCTGAGCCGCAGGCAGACGCTTAACCATCTGAGCCACCCAGGCGCCCTGGAATTTTTCATATATGGCATGGGGCAGTGGGAGTGGAGCAAGAAATCTGGAGATGGTCTAGTGGATATTATCAAAGGAGATACAGCCCCCCAAACGGGAGAATGTGTGACTCATCTTCTTGACCCCATGAAGTGATGCTCTGGAAACCCTTGGAACAAAAAGAAAAGGTTGAAAGCTAATTCTATTCTCTCCCTCTTCATTTCTTCCCTAAACTTCCCCTCTCATTGCATGAGCAATTTTTGTGTTGTAAAGGGTCAGAGACAGAATTGGTGTGAAGAAATCAGGGAAATTTGCCTTAGAGAGCGTTTAGGAGAAAACTCTGTACAAGCCACAGACTTTTTTATTTATTTACTTTTTTTTTGGTCTGACTTCCATGGTGGGGGATAAAATCCTGAAACCAGTGACAGCCTGTAAAATTCTGGCTCCCAGAGGGCCTTGATCTTGTTTTATGGTATGTGGAACCCCAACAGAGCTGGGACTACAGGAGCAGGTGTCCTGGCACCCATACTTTTCACTTAAAATAGAAATCACCTGGGGCACCTGGGTGGCTCAGTCGTTAAGCATCTGCCTTCGGCTCAGGTCATGATCCCAGGGTCCTGGGATCGAGCCCTGCATTGGGTTCCCTGCTCGGCGGGATGTCTGCTTCTCCCTCTCCCACTCCCCCTGCTTGTGTTCCCTCTATCGCTGTGTCTTTCTCTGTCAAATAAATAAATAAAATCTTTAAAAAAAAAATAGAAATCACCTGAGTCACTTCTAAGCCACATATCTCCTCGCTTGCCACCCCAGTGTAGACGGATATTCTGAGAGTTGTCCCTCCCAAGGAAGAACATGATGAGCCCTTTCTACTTTCAGAGGAAGCCCAGTAGAGGAAAGGCCTTCTGCGTATACTGGAAGAGCATGGGGGGCCACGGCCAGTGGTCCAGGGACGGCTGTTTCCTGATCCAAGTGAACAAAAGTCACACCATATGCAACTCCACCCACCTGTCCAGTTTCGCTGTCCTCATGGCCTTAACCAGCCAGGTACAATGTATACATTTAATTCCTCCAGCTAATCCTGTGTGAGCTCCTGCTGGATAAGTACTCTTTTAAAAAGGAGGGGGGAACACAAGGGACTAAAGTGAGGGATTGCAGAAAGCATGCTGCTTTCCATAGAAAGGTCAGGGTGGCCTCTATGAGAATTAAGCATTTGAGCTGCAATCTGAATATTGAATCAGTAGTGTTGCAACATGGGTGAGCCTCGAAAACATCGCACTGAATGAAAGAAGTCAGACACAAAGGGCTACCTGTTGTATGATTCCACTTATATGAAATGTCCAGAATAAGCAAACCCAGAGAGTCAGAAAGTAGATTACTCGTTGCGAGGGACTAGGGGAGGAAGAAATGGCGGTAAGTGCTTAATGGACATGGGATTGCTATATGGTATTCCCTTGCATGGCTGTACTACAATTTACTTATCCATTCTACAGTTAATGTGCATCTAGGTTGTTTCCCACTGGGGGCTATTAAAAGCAATGTTACAGGTGGGGGATGGGGATTGGCTAGATGGGGGATGGGTATTAAGGAGGGCACTTGTTATGATGAGCACTGGGTGTTGTATGTAAGTGATGAATCACTGAATTCTACTCCTAACGCCAATATTACACAGTATGTCAACTAACTAGAATTTGATTAAATATTTGAGAAGGAAAAAAAAAAAGCAACGCTACTTTTCTGGGATGAGGCATAGAAAATCCCATGTGGGATCCCCCAGGGTGACAAGAAAGCAACATTCTCCAGATGGTGTAGCTACCAGATTGTAAAGCCTCTGTTATCTTGGGTTTCTGAGTGACTGTGTGGAGCAGAGTATATTTCCATCTGTACAAAGTTTAAAAACAGACACAACTAAGCCATATTCTCAGGGGTTGCATACTTCAGTGGTAAAACTATAAAGATAGGCAGGAACTGCTTATCATAAAAAGATCATGGTTACCTCTGAGGAAGAAGGTGGTTTGCAATTGGAAAGAGCTTCTGGGATAATGTCTACAAACTAATGATCTTACAAATCATTTAATAATTTTTAATCGTGTGATACATTTATGTGTATGCTCTTTTCTGTATGTGTGTTATATTTCACAATTTTTTAAGGTCAAAAAAGCAAAGGATTAAAAAGTTCTATAAAGTGATATTGAACCAAGTGAAAATCTGCATATCATTATAAGGGATGGCAACTATCATTTCCTACTGGTGAGTCTTACTCAGTCTGCGTGGCTCACCAGATTCCTGGCTCCTGTCTTTAAGGAGATGAGTCGCCAAGAGCTGAATTATACAGATGTCTTAGTTTGGGATCTCCTAAAGGCAGATCCTGAGACAAAAATTTGAGGGCAAGTAGTTTCTCTGGGAGGTGACCCCAAGACACATCAGTAGGACAATAAGGAAGTAAGACAGAGAAGAGTAGGCAGCCAGTAAAGGTTGTGTTAAGGAAAGTTACCCCCATGGACAACTGGGACTCAATCCCATTGGTTACTTCTGGGAGATATCACAGAACATGCATTTCAGAGCCTTCCCACATAAAGGTGAGGGAGCTGAGGTATTTATCCACCAATGCCATTACTTTTATTGCTTGAGGGCAGCTTTCAAGGGGCATTAACATCCTGGTATTTGTGACTCCTTCTCGCCTGTCCAAGCATGTTCACGTGGCAGGAGAAATACTCTCAGGCAGGGTCACTGGATTTCACAGAAAGCAGCCAAAGAGCAGGTACCAATGAGTGTGAAGAGGTTAATAGCCTCTGCTACACAGGGCTTCCTACAGCTCTTGGGTGCAAGACTTAGCTTAGCATATTCATTTATTTCAAGGTGAGTCTGCTGTACAACATAGAGCCTATAGTTAATACAAAAATTGTGCACTTAAAAACTTATTAAGGGAGTAGATCTCATGTTGTTTCTTATCACAGAAAGAAAAAAGCAAAGTGACACAAGATCTTGGAGGTGTTGGATACATTTATTACCTCGATTGTGGTGATGGCATCATAAATATGTACTTATGTCCAAACTCATCAAAATGTGTGCATTCAATTAGCGTAGTATTTTGTATATTAGGTATCCCTCAGTAAAGCTGGGGGGAAAAGACTTAGTCTGACAGATACTTCTTACACTCTCTATCATCTGGAGTCATGCCTATGTTTGGGATGCCCCATTCCAAGGGGGAGGGGGATTAATCCTGGAGACTGACCATGATGTCCTCTTTGCTGGGCCCCAGGAGGAGGATCCCGTGCTGGCTGTGATCACCTATGTGGGGCTGAGCATCTCTCTGCTGTGCCTCATCCTGGCAGCCCTCACCTTCCTGCTGTGCAAAACCATCCAGAACACCAGCACCTCGATCCACCTGCAGCTCTCAATCTGCCTCTTCCTGGCCCACTTGCTCTTCCTCACAGCCATCGACCGGACTGAGATCAAGGTACTGACATTGTCATAGGGGAGCCCCTGCCCTGTCCCAGGGGTGCTCAGTTCATGGAGCCATGCTGCAATGATATCTTAATAAACTGGCCTTGGGTTCTGTGAAGGGGTAAGTAGTCTATTTCACACTGACTAATGAACTAGAAGACAAACCCTCTCCTGACAAATCAACCATCTACATGACAGTTCTCTCCAATGGCAAAGTATGGTACAGATCCTGGGGCCACCGTCCTCCCTGACAGTCCCTCCTGGTGACACCTTTCTCCTCCCCCAGGTGCTGTGCACCATCATTGCCGGTGCCCTACACTATCTCTACCTGGCGTCCTTCATCTGGATGCTGCTGGAGGGTCTGCACCTCTTCCTCACTGCACGCAACCTCACGGTGGTCAACTACTCCAGCGTGAGCAGGTTCATGAAGAAGTTCATGTTCCCTGTAGGCTATGGAGTCCCGGCTATAATTGTGGCCATTTCTGCTGTGATCAAGTCTGACCTTTATGGAACACCTGATCGGTGAGCTCAGCTCTCACCCTATGTGGACAGTTTTAAGGGCAGTGTTAACGATGATGATTGGGATATCCACATCGAACCCACTCTCCTTTCCCCTTGGCTGTAACAGCTCTAACCTCTTTCCTGATGAGGCAGAGAAAGATGACAGTAAAAGTGTGGAAGGTTTGGGGTGCTTGGGTGGCTCAGTCTGTTAAGCATGCCTTCAGCTCAGGTCATGATCCCAGGGTCCTGGGATCGAGTCCCATGTCAGGGTCCCTACTCAGCGGGGAGCTGTTTCTCCCTCTCCCTCTGCCCCTCCCCCTGCTCATGTTCTCTCTCTCGCTCTCAAATAAATAAATAAAATCTTTAAAAAAAAAAACATAAGAGTGTGGAAGGTTCTGGAAAGAGGGTATTTTGTGGTTAGGTCCCAGCTTCATCCTTCCCATAATTTGGGACCTCGAGTCCTCAAGTCTCAGTGCCCCCATCAGCGAAACAGGGATAACAGTTGTCCCCATGGTCCCACCCTCACAATGCTGCTCTAAAACTTCAGCAGGACTGTGCTTGTAAAATGTTTAGTGTAGCATTAACACGTGATAGTGAACAATCAAAGCCTTCGTTGTCATCCGCTGACATTTTCAGGAGATGTTGGAAAAGCATTGGGAAAAGTGTTCATTTCATGTGCTTTCTCTGATCTTTCTTTGTGTCCCTTTTCCCATTGTTCCCAGCTGCTGGCTCAACCTGGACCAGGGATTCATCTGGAGTTTCCTTGGCCCCGTCTGTGTCATTATCTGTGTGAGTGACTATGTGGCTCCAGGGTTCCCGACTGAAGAAGAAGCACAGGGCATGCTGGGTGCAAGACAGCATAAGGGGCATACATTTTCTCAGCTGTATGAATTGATTTTTCCGCCTGCTACCAATTCAATACCACATGCAGGGAGGTGGGAATTGTGTGCAATTTACAGCGGACACGGTGCATTATTTTAACTTGCGTTCTGCATGATCTGTGTCATTCCTGCAGGTGAATTTAGTTATTTTTCTCCTGGTCCTTTGGATTTTAAAAAGGAAACTTTCCTCTCTCAACAGTGAAGTGTCAACCATCCAGAATATAAGGTAAGGTGGGGTAAATGGTATTTTCTGACCCCCTCTTTTCTCTACTTATGCCCCATTGGTCCCTCCTACATATCCACACACACATACACCCCACAATCAAGTTCCAGGAACTAGCAAACCCAGTGTCACAGTTAATGACAGGCTGTACTAGCTGTAGTACAGGCTAAGCTTCAGTAACAAAAAGACCCTAAGAAAGGAGTGAAATAGAAGTTTATTTCATTTGCATGTCACAGTCCAAAGGTGAGCAGTCCAGGGCCAGTGGGGAAGCTCAGCTCCACAAAGTAATCCAGAGACCTGAGTGCTTTCTAATTTGTTGCTCCACATTCCCCAGGATGTTTCCTTGCCAGTATACCATCCATGGGAAGACGCTGCATGTTCCACATTTGCCGGTATCTCAAGGGCTAGACCTTGATCACACAGAGACACCTACCTTCAAGGCAGGCCGGGAAATGTAGTCTCTAACTGGGTAGCCATGTGTCCTTGATAAAACTCAAAAAAGGAAGGATCCAGCACTAAAATGAAGAAGAGGAGAATGGGGGGGGGGGAAACAGCAATTTCTGCCACATAACACAAGATGCAATAGGTTTGGGAAGGATTTCTATTAAAATATATTTTGTATGATACTATTTCACAAGATTTTGGACGATGAGGACTTTTTCATCTTGCAGCATCCATTTTATGTGAACATGTAATTTGTTGTTGATTTCATTGTAATCACAAAAATAGTGCATTTGTTGAAAATTTTTTCAAAAGTTTTTAAAATATATAAAGTAAAATCTGAAAGCAGCTAACTCCTCCCTTTCTATTCTCCTTCCACTTCTCAGGGAAGCCAGAGGTAACAAAGTGTATGATATGTATAATATTTTCCCCAGACCTTTTTCTGGGCTGTGCATTTTCTGTGGAACAGACAGGCATGCACCCAATAGCGTCACACTATGCAAATTGCTCCCCAACTAGCTTTTCTCACTTATGTATTACTATATTTTCTAATTAGGGATATATAGATACGTAAGTAAGGTGACCTTACATCCTAGTTTGCCTGGGATGGTCCCAGTTATGCCTGTTGACCCATTGTAATTATTAATTAGCACCACATCTGCCTCAAAAGCCTCCCTATCTGGATAATAAATTATATGACCCTTCATCTATAAATGATATAATTAGAGAGATAAAGAGCACCCAGTTTTAGAATGCTTTATATATGTACTAATTTTGTTCTACATACTTTCCTAAATACTTTACATATGTTAAAGTCCCATTTAATCTTGGCAGCAACTGTGTGAAATAGGGTTATTATAAAGATGAGGGAACTGAGTTATTGAAAGGTAAAGTAACTTGTCCAAGGTCACAAGCTGATTAGTTCTGCCTTGGGTTTAAACCCAGCCAGAGTAGCTCCAGAGTCCTCACCATTAATAACCACACAATAGGGTGTCCATGTCCATTATTAGCTTTTTCACATCATTGTGTATGACTCCCTTCAGGATGCTGACACTCAAAACGACAGCTCAGCTCTTCATCCTGGGCTGCACGTGGTTCCTGGGCATCCTGCAGGTGGGTCCAGCTGCCCACGTCATGGCTTACCTCTTCACCATCATCAACAGCCTGCAGGGCTTCTTCTTATTCCTAGTGTACTGCCTCCTCAGCCAGCAGGTAAACAACGACCCCTTTTGTTATTGTCATAAAGATAAGAAATATTTGGAGGTATGTACATTAATGAACATTTAAATCTATGTTCTCTAAATTTTCATATGAGCTGTGAGCCATGTGTAAACACTATCCATATCTTCTCTACTTTAAGATGTTATTGATTGTAAGATACATCAATTTATTAACAGCTTTCAGAAAGTAAATAATTGCTACATCAAGGAAATATGTTTTTCTTCAGCTTTCCCATTTTTAATAGTCTGCTATTGCTGGGTAACAAACAACCTCAAAAATCTCAGTAGCCTAAACACAAATATTTACTTTTCTCATTCTCAAGTCTGAAGGATGATTGAAGTTCAGCTGATCTTGTCTGGATTCAGCTTGGCTTGGCTCCAGGATGCAGATCATGTTCAGGTCTGCTCCTTGTGACTCATCCTGAGGCTCGGCAGAAAGGGAGCGGCAACCTAGGATATGTTCTTCTCATGACAGTAGCTAAATCACAAGAAAACAAGCCCGACTGGGCAAAGCCATTTCAAGCCTTGTGGTCCTGCTTGCATCACTTCCACTGATATTCCATTGGCCAAGGAAAGTCATATGTCCAAGCCCAAAGTCAAGGAGAAAGAACCCTCCGCCCATTCCGAGGCTAAGTATTACACCACGATGGTGTACTATGACAGAGGAGTGAATAATTGAAATCCATAATGCAATCTGCCACACCACTTAAACACCTGAATTCTTAAACACATTTCCTTGTGAGGCTATAGTGTCCATACTAATATGTTTTAATAGCTCTATGATGGCATTACATAATGTTAATTTTTCCAACATGTTATTATGAACATTTTCAAGCATACAAAAAGTTAAAAGAATTAGGAAATGAACACATATATGCCAATCAATTAGATTACCTTTGTAATTATTTGTGTTATCACATGTCTATCCACATATCCATTCTCCACTGCTAAGTCCCTGGTTACCACTATTCTACTTTCTGGCTCAACTAATTTGACTCTTATAGGGATCTCATATATGTGGAATCAGACATGATTTGTCCTTTTGTGTCTGGCTTCTTTCACTCAGCATGATGTCTTCATGGTTCATCCATGTTGTAGCCTGTGTCAATTTCTTTCCTTTCTAGGGCTCCATAAATAATATTCCATTATACATATATACCACATGTTGTAGGGAAAGTCTTTTTAATAATGTCTTTATTCTCCTCCTGACTCAATGGTTTTCTCTTCACCAATGTTAAGAAAAAGTTTCCAGCATTTTCTTTGATATTCTAGGTCCGAAAGTGGTTTGGAGAGATCACGAAATCTAAATCTGAGTCTGAGACCTATACGCTTTCCACCAAGTTTGGCGCTGACTCAAAACCCAGTGAAGTAAGAGAGCTTGTGACTTACTCTAATGCTTCCCCCCCAACATCCCAATCCCCTCTCCCTGTCTTAGTATGAGCTCCCTTGCCCAGCAGGAATGGCAAAGAGCTCTTCCTGATGACCTGGCTTGCATTTCCCATTCTCACTATATTGTTCCTCAGTGACTCTTCCCTGATCACTGATAGTGCTTAAGCTAGCTTGGGTATATACTCTTGTTATGCTAAGGAATAGGGGTAAGACATATCACCAGCACCACTACCATCTAAAGTAGAATCTTTTGGGGGGTAAACTTACAATCACCGATATAGCACAGTGGTCATCATCCTCTGAAATCCTGCTGTCCTGTGGAGAGGTGAATGTAAGCCCAGTCGGATTGGTAGATACCATAGAAAAGAGAGGGACTCCACCCTAGCTGTTCTACATAATTATAAGGGAGGGGTACATGGAATAATGGGAACTGCCTGGGAAAGGAAATGGTCCTATTAGTAAGAAGACCTCTGTGGAACTGAGTGGCTGGCATCCATCCATTCTTCCATTGATTTAACTCAGGCTCAATACACTACCTTGTACCCCTCTATAGTTGTCCCTTATTTGTCTTTTTGGAGAAATGAGAGAATATACTTCTTTAAGAAGGCATGCCCCTAGATGAACAAGATGGGCTCCAAAACTCATAATCCATAAAAATGTTCCCAGTTTCATTTGTATACTCCCATGTGTACACCCACCACATCTGCTAGCCAAGGAGCCTTAGAATGTATTGTTTTTAAAATGAAAAAAATTGAGAAATTTCTGACATATTGTCTTCTACTTTTCTTGAGCTAATATGTGATATTCTCAGCATTGGAAATATTGAGTCACTAAAAACACATGTCTCCCTATTTGGAGGGCAGAAAGGAGAATTCATTCTAAATCTTTCAAAAAGGACCAAAAGGAAAACAGGACCAGGAAAAAAGGTTTAGGGCATGTCAAGTGATCAGAAAAAAATTTTATGAATATTAGGTTTAATCATGCCCAATAAAAGTAAAATTATAATAGGTGCTGGCTGCTAACTGTGACCTTTGAAAGACTTCCCAGATAATGCAAAATAATTTCCAAAGTTCCCAGCACTCCAATAACTGGAGATTTTTTATTATCATTACTTAACATTGTGGAAGTTGATTAAGATGATTGTACCTTTGAAAGTTGGCTATATATATTAGTTACCTGTAAGAAATACATTCACTTTAATTTTTTTGTTTTTATATCTATTTTATTTTTTTATTATGTTCAGTTAGCCAATGTATAGTACATCATTAGTTTTTGATGTAGTGTTCAATGATTCATTAGTTGCATATAACATTTACAATTTTAATTAAAATAATTTCTTAAGCTTTTATTTTTCTAGGCACAGGATATGATTAAAAAGCTAAAAAAAAAAAAAATCCCTTCACTCTCCATGGACAAATTTGCCCTTGGGTTAAATTTCTAGTTCTGTTCCCTAGAAACTTGTTAACATTGAAAGGCCAGTTGTGTAACCAAGCAATATTGTTGGTGGAAAAAGTCATGTTTGACTGGGCAGGGAGTTCTGTGAATGAACCATAAATAGTAGAAGGGAAATGATAGCTCTGGACTTCCTGCATACAATGACTCATTCCTCAACCAGGCCAGGAAATTCTATCCTCATGGGCTGCTGTAGGAGGTATTGGTTTTCTTGTGGGACTTGGGGCTTTTAAACCAAGCTATAACATATGGTTGGTAAAAACTATAGTTGTTGAGTTCTACAATGTGTCAAGATACCGTAGTAGATAATGGACCTACAAAAGGAATAAGACCAACACAGTCTCTGCTTTCACAGGGCTTAGAGTCTGGCCTTTCTTCATAGACACAAACTAACTTAAATTCTGGAGCAGGCTACTATGTCTGAAATTTTTTCAAAAAAAAACAAAGAATTCTTCATCTGGGATTTTTGAAAAGTCCTCCCAGGTAGGAAGGAAAGATGGCGGAGGAGTAGGGGATGCTATTTCAACTGGTCCCCGGAATTGAGCTGGATATCTACCAGACCACTCTGAGCACCCACAAAACCAGCCTGAAATGTAAGAAGATCTGGAGCTCTACCAACAGAATATCGCGGGCGGTTGGTTTCAAGGTACGAAGCAGGGAGCCGTGATTCTGCGGGCAGATATCGGAGGATAAACAGCAGCAGGAGGGAGCCTGTTCGTGAGGATCCTACACCGCCGGTGAGCGACAGCCTCGCGTGTTGGGGACGGGGCACAGATTTGCAGACCAGTAGCGGTGGGGAAAGGACTTTAGGGCAGCCCCCAGGGCAGAAACCCAGAGCGGCGGGGTCGTGCGAACTGGGAATGGCTGGCAGTTTTAGAAGCACAAAGGGCAGAAACGTGCCCCAACCTGGAGGCAGGACTAGGGGTGCTGCAGAGGGGCGCACAACCCAGGCCGCTGCAGTTTATAGCAGCACGTACAGAAACGGAGACGGTGTGGCCTGGAGAGCTCGCGGAAGAACAGACTGAGATCTTTACTCTGAGGTAGAGGGTTGGAAACGGTCTCTTCTGCTCTGACTCGCGGACGAGAAGCGGAAAGCTGCCAGGGAAAGCCACCAGAGAACAAAAGCCCCCAAAACTGATTCCCACTGAGCCCATCCTCTGCCACAGGGGGGCAGGGCAACTCTGCCCAAACAGGGTTGCCTGAGTAACAGCTTGGCAGGCCCCTCCCCCTGAAGACAGGCTGGGAAAACAAGAGGCCAGCAACCCTAA